AAAGCCAAAAATTTATTGCATGAGATGGGTACTGTTTTCTCTCTCTCTACTTCGCACTCATTATATTTCTCTCTTCTCATAGGCTCGTCATGTCTCTATCGGTCTTCTTCTTGCCATTTCGAATCAAGTTCCTCATCGTCTCTGTATTCTCGATCATTCGCTTCTGTCACATCTTTGTCTGTTCTTACTCTCAAAATAAAAGATTTCTTAGACACATAGCGCATGTCTACACCATCTGGCACATCTTTTTTTGTAGTGTTGCTGTTTTTTCTTTTGTATAGGTAATACATTAGTGTCGTGCAGGTGACTCTGTCTATCTCCTCTTGTGTGTGATAGTACCAAAGGAGGTAGGCTTGTTTTTTGTCAGTAAAATGAAAAAAAAGATACCTAAGCTAAAAGAGAGCTCCACAAAGCCTTCAGCCTCTCTCATCACCTCATCTATACAATCTTCTCAACCTCGTTCAACTGTATCTCTCCTCATGGTCTGTTTAGTCTCCTCTTACTCTTGGTCCATCTCTGTGCTACATCTTCATATAACCTCTCTCTACACATTGCATGTTCCTCTCCAATATGTTCGTCTAACTCTACTTCTGCAGAGCAGAGGTGTGTCAGCTCCCAGGGTGGGTGACACATTTTCTTCACCAAAAAATGTATATCTTCTGCGTCTCATCTCTGTCTGTCTCTCCTCTCTCCCTCTTCTCCCCATCTCTCCTCTGTCATTCTCTCTCCTGTCTCTTCTCTCTCCTGTCTGTCCTCTCTCTCTCTCTGTCTTGTCTCTCTCTCTCTCCTCTGTCTTCTCTCTCTCTCTTCTCTCTCTCTCTCTCTCTCTCTTTGAATTGAACTGCAGTTCCTCTGTCGTCCACTAGGGGTCCAGCAGTCATTCCTTAAGGCCCGGTTTACAGTCCGGTATACAGAGTCAGGACTGTGACCATGTAAACAGCCAGAAGCCGACCACAGCGAGCTACAGACAGTTTATCAGGTACTGTGTGTCAGCCATCTGTAGTTTATTTATTGATCTGTTGATCTGTAGGCGTTTCCGTCTGCAGGAAGGAACCAATGAGCTCGCAGCCGAGGGGACAGGAAAGAGGGGGGGGGGGGGGTGAGGCGGACAACCTGTGTAGTGTGGACACACGGAGGAACTGCAAGTTTGTTCACCCTGAAGAATAAAACTGCATCCAACTTGAGTCTGCCGTTGCCGTGGCAACGCGACCTTGACTTGGTTCATGAAACTGAACAACTGCTAACTGATGGGACCGTCTTCGGCAACAGCAGCTGTTGCTGGATGGGCTGATGCAACGACGACGACTGACGAAGACGATGCTGCGAGTGAGGAGAGGACGAAGAGGAGGACGAAGAGGAGGACAGAAGAGGAGGAACGAAGAGAGGATTGATAACGAGTGAAATGACTCTGAAAGCTGCTGATTAATGATAAAGATGATACCCTGGTGATGAAGATGAAGATGAAGATGAAGACGCTGGTGATTTAGATGCTGACAGTGACGATGAAGATGATGAATAACAAACTTGAATGTTTTTTTAAACGATTAAATAAATGATGATGAAAATGTCCTGATGATGAAGATGATGAAGATGAAGAGTAAACAGACTCCACACTGCTGTTTGTTTGTTTGTTTGTTTGTTTGTTTATTGACCTCCATGCACAACGAGGGAACAATAAGCTGCACAGCGATGTGACACTGAGCGGAGTGTATCTGTACAGTTCAGACTACGTATCCCACAATGCACCAGTGCTTTAATGAAAGTTATAGAACAAAGTTCAGTTTACAGTCGTAGAAAAGTGACATCATCACGCTGACCGGCCGCAGACACACAGGTTGTAAAACAGGTAGAAAAATAGATTTCATAAAAAGATAAAAACATCTGAGATCAACAGTTTGTCTTCATGCACAAAGGTCGAAGGTCACTATTTTACACACAGTGAACAGCACCGTGTCCACCTTCCTCTCTCCCTCCTCTTCATCAGCTGTCTCTCCCACAGTCCACTGCAGTCCACTGCAGCCAGGACCCGGACCCGGACCGGGACCAGGACCGGGACCAGGACCAGGACCCGGAGTCCTCTGAAACCTCCAAACACCTTCCTGGCAGTGTGACGTCACAGGGAAACGTCTCTGACGGTTTCCGGTTGACGGTTCAAATCCTGAAGCTTTCACTGACCTCACCGGCCACCGTTCAGACACCGGGCGCGTTCAGGGCCAGAGAGTAGGCGGCCATCATCTGCGCGCGCAGCTGCTGCTTGACGTGCACGCGCCCGTGCCTCTTCCTCTCGTCGCTGCGCGCGAACCGCTTGCCGCACACATCGCAGCGAGAAGGGCTTTTCCCCCGTGTGCGTGCGCGTGTGCGTGGTCAGGTGGTCGCTGCGGCTGAAGCTGCGCGCGCAGATGGTGCACTGGAAGGGCTTCTGACCCGTGTGGATGCGCACGTGCCTGTTCAACTCGTCAGAGCGCGAGAAGCGGCGCTCGCAGCCCTGCACGGAGCACGGGAACGGTTTCACTTTCAGCCCGTTCTTGGCGGGAGCTCTTCTGCCCCCGCGTGACAGCTTCGGGGCTCCCGCCGCGTGCACGCTGCTGATGTTGACTATCGGGAACGCGCCCTGCAGGAGGGAGGAGAGCAGGTGCGCGTCCAGGGTGGAGGGGAGGGGGGCGGGGGAGAAGTGCAGGTTGCTCCCGCTCTGCACGAGCTCCGTCTTGACGACCGGTCTGTTGATGACGTAGCTGGCGGAATCTCCTCCGGTAACCGGAGCCGCCGTTAAACTCTTCAACCAGTCCTCCAGACCCAGCGGCTCCTGCTTCACCTCACAGCCGGGCTTCAGCTCGCCCAGGCCGGCCTCGGAGCTCAGCAGAGAGTCGATGAAATCAGCCACATCCACCTGTTGCTCCAGAGCCGGCAGCGGGAGCAGAGAGTCGCTGCTGGCCGCGTATACAGCTTCATTCCCGGACAGGGAAGGTTGTCCACACCCGCTGCTGCAGCTGGAGCTCACAAACTCGCTTTTAACCACCACCGGGTGTGAGATGGTGGCGGGAGGCAGCTGCTGGGCTGCGGCCACAGGAGGGATGCTGAGGTCGGAGCTGGGAGCGAAGAGCGGGGGCGAGGAGGAGGCTGCAGAGGGCGGGCTGGAGTCTCCCTGCTGCTCCATCTCGGTGCAGATCCCGACGATCTCTGTGATCATGTTGAGGATCGCGTCCGCGGTGCTGCTCAGACCCGCTGCTGCCGGTACCGGCTCCGGTTCCGTGAAGAAGCTGCCGGTGTAGCCGAGAGAGGGAGAGAGAGTGTCCGAGGAGCAGTCGCTGAAGTCGGAGAAGAAATCTGAGTCAGAGGCGTCAGTTCCCGGAGAGAAAACTGAGGAGAGAGAGGGAGGGAGAGAG